GCGTGGTTGTATTAAATTGTTATTTTTCAATAACAATTTAATACAACCACGCCGTGTTTTTATGAAATAATATCAATCGAGGCAATCCATGCCGTTTATTTCTCTCCATATCGAACTGAACGAATATATAGTCAGTAATTCTTCTCCTCTCCCTCATTCGGTTTGTTACTGCATAAAGAAATAAAAATGGAAATGGTATGTCGAAAGAATTGTTTAACTTAGACTAATTTTCTAAATGTTTCAGGATTATTATTATACATTACTCAAATTTATTTACACACACATGCGATTTATATATCGCTTCCTCCTCTTCTTAGTCGGCATATTTGCTGTTATTGCTGTGTCAGATTTGAAGCAAATGTTTAATGCAGTAAAAAAGAATCAAGGTTATCGAGTGCGCATGATAAAACCAATAGGTCTTAAAATAAATTATATTAATCGACATAATCTTCGTTATCGAATAAAAATAACTGTATCGACTTATCTTATTGCATCAACAAACTCGATATTATTCGAATCAATGACATTCTTTCCGTTAGGATGGTTACTCAATGGGATTATAGTGATAATTATAGAAAATTTTTGTCCATGTTTAAGAAAAATGATACCGTGTGTATTTAAAGAACCCAGTGATGGAATCGGAACATATCGATCATTATTTAAACTGAGACATGCAGTTAATGTAGTCCTCATATTGTCAATTACAGGATACTTATGATACGCCAGTTTATCAGGAAAACCCGACCGATCGATAAATATCAATCTACAGACAACGGGCTGAAGCTTAAAATGAAATCTTCTTGTGCAGTGAACTCTCTGGTGGGTTACCTTCGTATCTTGAATACAATCATAGAGCAGGAAAGTGAAAAATATAGACCAGTATAGACCGGTTTGAACCAGTCAGACCGGTCTGGACCGGTAAATCGGTTTGGACCGGTAGACCGGTTTAGACCGATCTGGATCGGTAGACCAGTTTGGACCGGTCTTGACCGGTAGACCGGTCGATCCAAAATCCGGACCAGTACCAGATCGGACTGGCCCGGACCGGACCGGCCGGTAACCGGTACCGGTTCCATCTCTGGCATATGTTGATTGTGCTTTAGAAAATGATGAAGAAAGATGGTCAACACCACGATGTAATGCCATTTGAACTTGTTCAGCTGCTTGTGAACGAGAAATATCAGATAATTTTTGTTTACTATGTTCCACATATTCATGTCCATGATTAACAAGATCACTGAGTGATTCACTTAAACGTTGAAATAAATCAAACAAATTTGTTGACGTATTTTCTGCTGTTGCATTAGTTTGTTTGATTAAATTACTAAGTAACACATCCAAAGATAATGTAGATGATTTCGTACACTGGATTTGTAAAAATAAAAATAAAAATAAAAAACTTTTAGTGTTGATACAAGTATGTATTTAATATATTACTTACATCAACTCCCTTCAGAACATGTTTCTTTTTCTATTGAACTTTGTTCTTCAATTAATTGTACGTGATGTTCTAATGCAATAACTTGTTTTTTGTAATCGTTCATTTTCATCTGATAACTATAAATAAAATTCGAATTAAAATTAAAATCTAATTTATTTCTTTTTTGTTTATTTACTTGATGAATCATATTTGTAAAATTCTCTTGTGTAAGCTTTATTATTTGATAAAGTTCATTCATTTCTAAAATCAATGAATTGTTTTCATTATTATATTTAATCATTTTTCATTAATCAAAGAACAACAAAATGTATATGTATGTATATATATATTCATTTATTAAGTTCTATAGATGCAACAAAAACAAAAAAAAAAGAAAACCACAAAAAAAACTTTTCTATCATTCTGTCGTAAAAAGAGAAACGACAGAATAATGAACGTACATATTTTTATTTTTTGTTCATAACTTTAATAGCCACCTTCCAGAAGTTATCCCGTGTTTTTTTCAACACCAGATTTTCTTTTGGTGTCTTTCTTGTCAAGCTTTTGAGTTCTTCGTAGGCGAGTAGTTTGGCATTCTTTTTTAAACGTTCACGTGTACCAGCACCCACTTTTAAGTTTTTATTGAATATTAATGTACATTTGTAGCCTTTAATGCCATATTTATGTAAATTTATCTCGTGCTCTACTAAGTGTATTGCACATTCTGAATCATTCGTGGTTGCTGTTGTTGAACTCGTCGTAAGAAATAAGATTTGATTGTTGTTGGACCATCATGAGCTTCTTCTAATGTATCTTTTGGTGCACGAGTCTGCATTCGTGCACATATAAGATTAAGAAGACGTTGAGCTGTTTGACGTTGTTGTTCTCTATATGTATATATAATAAAAAAAAAATTAAAACCAATAAATTTTGTGTAGAAATAGGATTCTTTTGTTTTTGTTCAAGTATATGAAATAATTCTAAATTGATTTATTGCATAGTTTTCAATCTAATATCCATCATTGAACAAAGACATTTGTTAATGATATATAGTTTTATATCTGTATGTTACATTGTTTGTCTTTTTCTCATATTTTATTCTTTTTTAATTCTAACAACCGAATTGAAAACAAAATATCTATAGAAATCATTTTCTTTCCACCTATTGCAACTATATAAAGTAAAATGGATTCTTCTACCACAGATAATTTTTCCTATAATATACAAGACAACAAGAACTATGTTCCCAAATATTCATCGAAATTACTCGATTAATTATATGATTATGAGGGAAGTTCGCTAATCGATTACAGGCTTTTGATTCGAGACTATGTGTATCATGAAAACCTAAATAAATTTTCAATCTATTGATAAGTTAAGGATCCTAGCTTATTTGTGGCAGACATACTGTGAATTCACGGTAGTTTTTAAATGGATGCCTTAGATCTCCTCAAAAACAGCAAGAAAACTGATTGCCAAGTTTTCATTGTACTTTGTGCAGAGACATATTGTCAGCTTATTGTGAGAGATTCAGATATTCTGATTTGCTTCCATTCTTAAATAAAAACATCGAATGTGACATTCTATGTGAGCAATGTAGAAGACAATCCTTTATCAAGACTGTATCTTAAGATAGGAGCAATAATAAGATCTGAAATATTCACAAGAAAACTATTCTTGTTGAGACCTGCCTATGTGTAAAGTTTCAAATCGGAATTCGAATATAAATTTTTCTCGTGTTTTCAGAGAATTTAGAGCTCATTTGGTTCTACATAATGCAGTCTCGACTTAAAAATAATTTATCCCTTGCGAAACTTCCTTTATTAGTCAGTTGGACAAATCAAATATTATCTAATATGTCATTTTTTGATTTTTCAAAATCAAAATATTATCTTAACTCTGCTTTGTTCTATATCTCCTAGTTTTCTATCTGTAATGACAAAACTGATATCAATACCAAGTATTATCACCATCGATATCAATTTCGATTGTACTATTTTCTTTCATAGCAATCAATTAGCATCAAGATTCATGATTGCATATACCAATTTCATTGAGGCTACCAAGCGCCTTTTAGCACATCTGACATAGACTATACCAAGCGTCTACGAAGTGCCCATATAAATGAATGACTTGATAAACCATATTCATTATTTTTTTTTTACTTTTAATAAATAAACTTTATTATAACATACACTCATCTCGATTAGTCTTATAGTATAACAGGAAAAAAAGGATCTACAAGTGATGCAATGATAGATGAGATGAAATATGATCAGAATTGTCCCATATTGGAGAATTATTTTAACTATAATTTGAAACAGTCTTGAGATCCATACCGTATGTCGTCGGGTATTATTTCATCATCATCATCATCATCATCATCATCATCATCACTTTGATCGGAATCATAAATTGATTGACCTAAATAAATGAGAATAAATTAAATTTTAAGAAATTTATTTAATTTATATTACTTGTTGCTAGCTGTTGTTCTTCATCTTCAGTACGTTTCTAATACAAAATAATATTATTATATAGTCAATGATAATATTTTCTTTACATACTCGTTTACAAGTAGGTTTATATGCTGTAGATGATGAATATTCCTCTTGATTTGATGTTGATGTACCTAAATTTTTATCTCAATAAATATTTTTTATTTCTCTCTCCATTGAATACACTTACCAGTTTCCATTTGTTTTATAATACCCAACGTTCGTCCAATTTTTATACTATACATCATAAAATAACTATCTTGTGCTCGGTGTACAAGTGCTTGAATTTGCATAACCGCAAAATCCAAAGTAATTCGTTTCTCATGGCTATTGAAAAAAATAAATTTTATTTTCATGTTCATTAATAATATTTCAATTCTATAATAACTTGAAAAAAAATTAAACTTACTATATTGTAAAACGATATCTATATGCCATAGATGAATCAACAGTTGTATTAGTTAATGATTCAACAATAATTGAACAAGCTAATGACTTTTTTATTGTTGTGATATTACAATACTAGAATTATTATTCGATGGTTATTAAGATGTAAATATTTTTCACGTACTTGTGGACCTAATATATGTAGGTCAGGATTAAATGTATTCATTAAAAGAGAATTAAACAATGAACCAAAAACAGTAACTTCACGATTATGATACTGAAATATTGAAAAATGATAATAATTCATATATGACAAAAATTAGTTATATTATAAACAGGTGCATCATTCTGTTCGAATAACGTTAAATCAGAACGAATTCGATTATAAATATCTAAATAGAAAACTTTATAAATTCATTTATGTTTATAATTAATAACATACCATCGATTTGTTGATTATCTTGTTCAGCTTGTGAATTACTTATCAGTTGTAGTCTTGGTTCATCTTGATCGTTACACATTGATTGTAACTTTACTGGTACATAACTACCAATACCTCTAATTGAAATACTTGAATTTTGTACCAACTAAGAAAAGTAATTGTTCATATATTAATTCATTTTTCATTTTCAAACATACGTGTCGCCAATATTCTGCTCGTGTAGCTGCTACACAAACCTCATATGACAGACCACGAAGAGAAATACATACTTGTTTACCAGTACTACCTGATGATGAAGAATTACCCAGGTGGATCATTCCGGCCGTCGGAAACGGCGTCGTATCCGGCCTGAAACGACTATAAAACGGCGAATTACTGCAGTAATTTTGGCCTTATTTCGCCGTAATCCGTCATACCGTATTACGACCACCGTTTATCGCTAGAAAACGGCGGTCGTTTTTTTCGGTTTTGCTTCCGTAATCTGGTATGACGGATTACGGTGCCGTTTATCGACGTTTTACATCGTTAATCGCCGTTTTATAGCCGTTTCAGGCCGTTTACGACGCCGTTTTATTGGACCTGGGTACCCATTGATATTTTTCCGTGATAACTGTATTAAACTGACCTTGTCTGTACATATCATAACATATATATACATGTCTGCATATATAGACATTTCAGCCTATTTAAAAAAGGAAAAAAGATTATTATATAGGAAAAGATTTAGTCTGTCTATTATATGTTGATTATACATCGTCCACCATTTTTGGTACGGATCCACACGGCAAAGAACATAGTGAAATAAGAGAAAGAAAAGCGAGTCCAACATGATTGGTGGTCTTCGATTTTGAGAAGGGCCAAATATCAGTTAGGTATCAGTGGATAGAGAAAAGTTTTCTCTATCATATGGTGATTTTGGTTTTCTATAAAAAATCGGCATTCAAAAGGTCCGCTAGGTGTCGTTAGTAATTGAATTTTTCGTAAATGGTTTTTATCATTCTCATGGGTGTTTTTTTTATTTAATCCTTTAAGTACCAGCGTCCTGAATAGAGGACAGTTTTTTTTAGTATCTTAATTTTTCAATAAATTGTGAACGCGAAATGATATCGAAGTACGGCCTTCTCTATAACATAGAAGAGATTTCGGTACATACATCTATATAAGACTTATAACCCTAATGAGGTCATTCAGGTAGTAAACTTGATGTGTTTTCGGAACACCACCTTCATTCTAAACAGGAGGATGGATAGTGCTCTTTTGCGGTCCCTAAAATATTTTGGTTTTTCGTGTTGGAAGTTAGAATAAAATTTTCAAATCGAAACTTTTTCCTAAATTATAAGTTGCCATTGGAAGAAAGATCAATATGAATAGTAATATGAACCATTTTGATTCAATATTTGGTGTTTCTTCAAGAATGTAGTATAATTCTGAATCACGCAAAAACAATTTAAAATATATCATCTTCGAACCTCGAGATAATTTAACTTAAGTATTTAGATTTTTTTCTTGTGTTTTAAAATTAAAAGTTGGATTCCTGAAGAAGCATCCGATATTAAATCAAAGTGGTTCATATTACTATTCATATTGATCTATCTAACAGTGACAACTTATAATTTAGGAAAAAGTTTCGATTTACAAATCTTATTCTAACTTTTGAATAAGTGAAGAAATTCTGATGGTAACTTAATGTACTTATTTCAATTTTCTCTTAAAAAACAGAAAGACTAAATTAAATAAAAAGCATATGTAAATGCTCATGTAAAAATATTTATGGAAATCAGATTATCAATCAATCATAATGGCACTATTATAACTTGATTTTAATCGGATTTTTCTATATAAAAAAATTAAAAATGTTTGGATTTTGATTTTTTCGTAATCGATTATAATGAATTTTAAAAAGACAGTTAAAAAAGATTAAGAAAAAATCAAAATCCGAAAATTTTGATTTTGTTATATAGAAAAACCTGATTAAAATCAAGTTATAATAGTGCCATTATAATCGATTAATAATCTCATTTTTTCCAGTCTTTCTTTTTACATGGGCAATAAAAACCATTCACGAAATATTCAACAGAAATTCATATAATTTGTTGATTCCTATTAATAGAATTCGATAGTTTTGAATTCCTAGCTATCAAGTATTTTTACTAGATATCACGACTTACTAGATTTTCCGATCAAATATGAGCTCTTTTTGTTATGTCTGTAGGCTAGTATTATTTGTTTAGTATTTTTTTAAATTTTTTTTTAAAAATAAAGTGCAAAAAAATAATCAAATATTGCAAAAGAACTAGTTGTGCTATGAAAGAACTAAGGAATCAGACAGCCAATATTAGAAACCGGATCAATTGAAGAAATTGCCGGATAACCGCGGTTAGCCGACGGTTTTTTACCGGTTTTGACCACATGCGTTGATATGAAACTAGTTTTACAGCTGTAGTGTAGGGACATCTTCCGCGTGAAACTCAGTTTGATCGAGAATAAAATATACAGATTAAAAGAGAACTTAATATAAAGTATTTCTATAATCATTTTTTTTTTCTGATGTGAAGATGTGAACTAGACGTCGCCACTAGTAGTGTATCATGTAGTCAATTGGTGATTCTAGTTACATTTTTTTCGCCAGACAACGTACTAGTTAAAATCGATAAGAAGATGACCAAAATCGCACTGAATCTTAGTACATGGACAAGCTATAATATAATTTTTCGTTCTTTACAGAACGCATGGAAACGTTCATTTTCTACTAAAGAACGTCAAATTTCTTCCGAAGACGAGCAATCTCGTAGTTCTCAACATTCATCTGTTTCGGCTGCTAAAGATATAGCACCTGACAAAAGTTCTACGGCATTGATTCTTATTGATGTTATTAATCATCTCGATTTCGAAGGAAATGAAGGTAGAACATGTACAAAAACAATACAAACAATTTAATATCTTTTTTTATTGCATCATTACTCTTTTTAGAGTTGATCAAGGTCATAAAACCAATTGGTCAGCGTATTGCCGAATTGCGACAAGCAGCTCGCATTGCTAACATTCCAACTATATTCGTCAATGATAATTTTCATAAATGGAAATCAGATTTTCGTTTTGTCGTCGAGAATGTTCTTAAAGAAAACAAACCTGGCAAGTAGTGTTATTGGTTTTTTTTAATTTTCATTGTCACTAGACATGGTTTATTGTGGTTTACAGGTAAAATACTGGCCGAGTTATTGAGACCAGATGAAAATGATTGTATGTTATCACTCTTGCTCAAAAATATCTCTATGAATAACTAAACATTTTAGATTTTGTTTTGAAACCTAAACATTCGGGATTCTATTGTACACCACTTGAACTTCTTCTTGATCATTTACAAGCACGAACTCTTATTTTGACCGGTTTTGCTGGAAATATCTGTGTTTTATTCACTGCAAACGATGCGTACATGAGAAACTATAACTTAATTGTTCCAAGAGATTGCATTGGTTCTAATACACCAGCGGTACAGGTTATGCTAACCAGGATTATATATGATAATCAATATTTATTCTAGGAAAACGATGTATCTCTCGAGCAAATAAATAAATTACTTAAAGCAGATATAAGACCGTCGGCTGACATTATCAAAGATATTAAAAATAGTATGTTCAATGAATGCAATAATTCTGAACATTCAATTGGTAAATCAAAAAGTAAACAATAAATGATAATTTCAATATACTTTATATCAGATTACGTTTAATCTCGCACAGTGATACTTCAATATATTTAGCCAAGCGTATACATTTGTTCATTTTATATTTTGATATTAAAATTCTAGCAAGTTTTGACTTATTGTGAATAGAATAACTTTTGATTGGATTTTTCCTGTGTTCTAAGTTAGATAGACCATGAATTCACTTATTCAATACATACTGCAAGAACATATTTAAATCTATATGTTAGTGACGGATCCGAAATAAAAAAAAGTGAGATTGGTAGAGAAAAAATTCTGAAAGAAGTTAAAGGAGGAAGTTGGTGGCGTTATTTTCCTCAGAACTATAAAGGAAATACTATCACTCTACTCTAAAAGAAATTGCGACTTAGATCAAATGATTGTATTTTGGTTTTTCTTATCGTAATCGGTCGATCGATGAAAATGTCAAGCATATTTCTCGAAGCATTTTATAAAAACGCCTCTCATATACAGCTATCAAAACAGGTCCTTCTCAATCATATACTCCCTTCTAAGGCACCAATCTCGACTCACCACTCTTATGTCCAGCTCGTGTGTATCTATAAATGACGCATAACAGCGCGCTGCTTAGATTATGCTTAAAAAAACCAATCGATGCTAATTATAATGCATCTGCACCAATATTTATTTTAAAATTATTCCAGAGTAGAACTGAGATTAAAATTGATCACAGTAAATCTTGATCAAGTTTCGAGAGAATTTCATTAAAGGTTACTGGTAATACAAAGTTAAAGTGAAATCAGACTTGAAATCGATTGAATTTTTTTTTTCAATTGGATTGGACTGGTAAGTAGATGACTAATTGAAATCCTTGACTCAACCGATAAAAAAATCACTGAAAAATTGGTCAATTCAATCACAGAATTTAATTTGTGAAAAATCGATCTCTTTCATATATAAATTGACAAACTATTTCTGATGAGAAAGAGTTTCTTAATGCAGCTCCACGAAGAGATCGAATGAAATTCATCTATCTCTTGAAATGTCTAGTGCTAACATCGTCTATTTAGTCTGTGACGTACCACACACACTAATACTAAGAAGTAAAGGAAAACTCCTTGAAAACTTTTAGATGTTACGTTCCAATAAATGATATATAGCAATATTTGTGCCTTATTTTGGCTGATTCTCTTTAATAAATACATGGTTTCTTCACAAGAAGTGATAGGTTTCATGTTTTCTTATTCGAAATCATTATTTAACGTACTTAGCCTTTTCTACAGATCTGTCAGCTATTATTACCGATAGAAAAAAATAAATGCTTACAATGCTCGATTTTGAAATAGATACCAGATTTTTTTAAATTTATTGTTATTAAGACGTAAGTTTTCTTTTAAAGTAGCACAAAATTAGAAGGTGGCAAAAATTTCACATTGAAATGAATTTTTTTTTCTTGTTTATACAATAAAAACATGATCTGAGATCTGCTGACAGTGAAGAGTTTCTGACAGTCAGTGGGAAACAGTTCAGAAGTGATCATAAAATTTTGAGATGGAAAATTTCTAGCATAGACAGAATTTAGCTGCTAAATTGGCGGTTAAATTTCTTTGACAATCATCAATGTATTTAGTATGCTGCGAGATCACTCACTCCATAGTCAGAAGCGATAGGTCAATATTGAGAGCTGAAATTTCAATACCGACTAAAAATTTATCGACTCGAACATTCCAACGATGGAAATCGGCAAAAACAAGCAAGGATAGACTAGCTTCAGTACTCTCTAGAGTAATAAAAAGCCGAAAACAACTCGATGAAAACTGACCGATCCGGTACGGCTCCAAGTCTGATATAGATAGCTTCAATATGTCTCTGAGAATATATTTATAGATATCCTTGTAAATCCATCTAATTTTTTCCAATACGAGATAAGATCAAATGTTTCATGTCCTTAGAATTGTTCACACGCGACTTACAAAAAAACCTATTGAACTTTTGTAAATTGTGATTTATTGTTGAGAAAATTGAAGTTTCCCTGATTACAGCAGTATAATAACATATTCGGGATCAATGCAAAAGAAAACAAAGCTAGATCATCTATATTTCATCAAAAAAGTCCTCTTGAAAAAGAAACAGATATGGTTCTTTCAGCAATTGTTTGTTAAATGTTGCTCGTAGTTCACTCAGCATGCAGTTTTCGTGAAACATCATTTACTGAAATAGGTATATATAATATGACACAGGTATGCCTGCTTATTTCGAATATGCTATTTAGTTTTTGATGTAAAATTTAACTTAATACTCCCAATCATTGAATAAAATCTAAAGAAACTACACAGGTGCATATGAAGTTCAATGAATCTGATCAGATAAGACACTTACTCCTAATTAATTTCATGCATGACTAATTAAACTTGAAAAATGTCTATCATCACATACTTCGGAGTACACTCTTGGATAAAACCCTTGTCCTTCTCTCTTTACATCCTATATTGCACCCGTTTGATTGCAAGCCAATATTAATAATAAGGATAAATTGAGCACTTTATTTCAGTAAAATACATAATTAATTATTATTTGCTTTAATAAAGACTATCAGTTTTTCAATACTAATGGTTAACACCAAAAATGAAGTCGTGAGCAGAAAGCATCATGTATTAGCTATTTTTTTATTTAAAATCCGCGAACTACTACTGTTTTTTCGGCTTATTAAGTTCTCTTCGTTGTGGAATCAAAACCTAAGTCTGAATGTATATTCGATTACATATGTCAAGATACCCCACAAATAGAAAACTAACTATCAGATCTGAGGAAAGAGATAAGCAACACAAGAAATATTCTACTTACTGATTCATTTCAATATTAGTCAATGATACCAAAAAATTAATTAATCATATATTCTATTGAAATAAAGTGTTTAAGTCATCCTTGTAATTAATCTTGACTTGAGACCAAATGAATGTAACAAAGAATACAAAGAAATGGGCGATGACATTTGTCCAAAGATGTATACTGAAGCTATCAGTATTGAACATAATTTTTTAACTTTATTAGCTTAAAGTCTAATTAAATAATATTTGTAAATTCAGTCATTCATGATAAATCAGAATTGATTACTTCGACATTGTTAAGAAAACAAGAAATAAGAGAAACTGTACAAGCTTGCAAAAAAAATGTGACTTTTGGTCATGTATTTGACCTTTTCAGAGCTTTTTTTCTAACTATATAATGATCCAATTGAAATAAAAACTAGATATATTCGTTATCAACTCATCAAGACTTATCAAACCATAGATAGAAATAGAAAAAAAATAAAAATCCACTTGAATTTCACAGTTTCCTCGCCATAATTTAAATATGATTAATTTATTGGCAAAAAACACAGAATTGTTGTCTAGTTAAAGGACAAGAACACGTAAAATTATCAGAAATAACTCGAATCTATTACCTCACAATTGAAAAAAAAACAAAAGTAATCCACACAATCAAAACTTCAGCTTTTCCCCCATTGACTAAGTCTTATTAAACTTGAAGTATGAAGTGTGAATCCATGTATGCTAACAAGGCTATGTTCGATAAAAAGTTTTACTGAATATTTTCAGTCGATCTTATTAATATATTTCTATGAAATATGTCAATATCTTGTTTTGCAGATCAAACTTCAGGATAGATGAGAAAAATAAAATAATGATAATCTTCTCTTCAGAAAATCTTTTATTGATAAAATTTGCATTTGATTTATCTCAAAGCATTCTTTTTTTTATATATCACCAGATTTTATTGTACCGAATATATAAGTTTTTCAAAAAATACATTTATATTCAAACAAGTACCACTGTAGACTTAAAACAAGCGAAAATAACAATATACGCGCAATATGTAAGACGAAAAAAAAGTGAAAGTTTTCAAATATCATAGAATACTTTTCTATGTTGCAGTTCATTCCGAACTTTTTTATGATAAATTCTTTGAAATATTGTAAGAGCAGATCGAATTACTTGATGCAGATAGACATGATTATTGTAAAGCGTTAAAGACTAGTATCCATTTCCAACCGAATGATTTTTTAATGTTTTTTTCGATACAATAAGATGTTTGATTCAAATATCAATCAAATCTAAAAACTTTTTTTCGTGAAACTATTAGTCAATATTCAATTTTCTAAACTGGTGGATGCAGAGATGATAGCAAAGCCAAAGAAGAGGATAACTGTAAAACACATATTTTGAATATATTAATAGAATTCAAGAGATTAAAGAAAGATTAATAGATATATAAAGATTTTCTTTATATAGAATATCCTGAATTATTTCTGCTCTATCATAGTTCGTGGATTTTGTTTTCTCATTTTCATAACGCTTCATTCAAAGTCATGGAATACGATTAATCGGCATGTGATCAATGATAAGAAAATAAAAACTAAATCATTCATAACAATAATATGATATTTGTATAACTTATATAAATAAATAAAAAAAAAAAACATTTTCAAATTATTTTATTATCTCTAATTTCAAATAAATTTTCTTCGAACAATTGAATAGATTCATTAAAAATAGAAAATCTCACAGTTATACAGGTACATTTATTCTTCTCTAAGATTAACAATAGATAGTGCTTTTTTTGTTAATTTATATTCACAAAATAAATCAGGAAGAATGTTACTTCCGATATAATAAAAGATGACTTTTTAACTTTCATCGTTCGCAAATTTGAACTGCTTTCAAAAGATTTCCGGTGTTATTCGATCCAAACCATTACATTTGATCTATCTTCCGTCTCATCGATTACCATCCTCCTACGATTGGCGAGGCAATATACGCGTCGAAGATGACTTTTAATTAGAATATTTCTTTAATTTCTGAGAGGTTTTCTTTCTTTCTCTCTCTCGATATGTGAGTATGCATTCGGAGAAACATAACAGATTTACTTTCAATGATTTTGAAAAAAAGTAATTAGAGAAAACGTAAGAATCAAAATGATGAAACTATACTTATAAATACATATTTGTTGTATGTTTTTATAAGAGA